GGAGGACTTCCTCGTAGCCTACAGTACCGAGGAGAAGCTGAGAGGGCACAAGTGTCATTTTACTAGGCCAGCGTGGCGGAGAAGTTAATTTCCGGGAATGAATTTATATAATTAAAAAGTTCCCGGCGGAGAGCCTGTGCTAGGAGTCTAGGGGGAGAGGGGTTGCCATAGCCCGAGATGTGTCGACTTGAGTCCGTGTAGCGAACTTTTGTCCTGCCGCAGTAGGGGTTATGTACGGGTGTCATATTTCGTTGTACCAATGTACCAATGATGGGAAAAAATGATGGGAAAATGGAAAGGGACATCAACGGCAGCGGGGATCATGTGTGGTTTGATGGGGTTTTATTAGGTACTGTCCCCCACCCGGTAACAGTTGGATAGCAATTCTAAAAGAATGGTATACGCCCCTTAATGAATATAATCCCTATTATAGACACTTACTGGGTGGGGCAGTACCCAATCTTAACCCTAAACTCTAAATCCTACACCCTAAACCCTAAACCTTAAAATCCAAAACCCTAAACCTTAAAATCCAAAACCCTAAATCCTAAACCCTAAACCCCAAATCCTAAACCCTAAATCCTAAACCTTAAATCCAAAACCTTAAATCCAAAACCTTAAACCCTAAACCCTAAACCTTAAATCTACAAGCCTAAACCCCAAACCCTAAATCCTAAACTCTACATCCTAAAGCCTAAATCCTGAAGCCTAAACCCTAAATCCTAAACCCGGGTTCACCACAGCAGCCCAAACCTCAGAGCTTAAGTTTAGGGAGTTAGTGGGTTTAAGGATGTAGGGTTTAGGGTTTTAGGTTTGGGGATGGGGGTTTAGGGTTTAGGGCTTAGGGTTTAGGCTTTAGGGCTAAGGGTTTAGGGTTTAGGGTTTGGGGATGGGGGTCTAGGGGCGAAAGGTGTAGGATTCAGGATGCTGAGTGTAGGCTTAAACTAGGCTTACCCCTAAATCCTGAACCCAAAAGCCTTGAGTCCTCATCCCTAAACCCTAAACGCTAAACCCTAAATCCCTAAACCCTAAACCCTAAGCCGTCCTTCAACCCTACTGTCTAAGCCCTTAAGACTGAAGCCCTAAAACCTAAATTCTTAATCCCTAAGCTCTTTGAAACAAACAACTGAAGCCCGTAAACCTTCAAATGCTCCTATATGATCCCTATATAACCTCTAAGTCTTGATCTCAAGGCTCTAAACCCTAAGCCTTAAACCTTACAGCTTCATCCCTAAACCCTAAATCCCTAAACCGAAAGCCCGAAAGTCAAGGCATGCGGCTCCCGCGCCGCGCTTTGCGGTTTTTTTCGGCGCTTCCCGCGGCGCTGGCTTTGGCAGTCTACGGCGCCTGGGTTGAGTTAAAGGTTTTGGGGCTGTGTTGGGGTTATATAGGAACTATATTGCGGTTATGAAAAGGGGGTATAAAGGGAAATATTGGGTTTAGGGTTGGGGGCCGGAGTTAAGTTTTAGGGACTTAAGGTCGAGGGTTTAGTCACGGGGTCTTGGTAAGCAGGTTAATAGCCCCTATAACCTATATAGTAACCCTAGTTATCCCCAGTATTCACCCACTTGCTAAGTCCCCCTAACCCTCCAAGTAGGTTGTCACAGATATTATTTTGTTCGTCGATGACACGTTTTTCATCTCTGAAATCCAAAGGTTGGAGCTTTGTATGAACCCGGACCGTACATCCTGCATCCCGACAGCCTAAACTCTGAACCTGAAGCTGTATGCCGACTTCCCATTGAGGCTTTGAGTGCTATGGCAGCCTGGGCGGCATGAGTTTAGGGGTACTTGAAGGGTCAGGCGGATGTAGTAAGTAGGTTAATTACCCCTATCACCCTTTTAATAACCTGATTTATACCCATTAGTAACCTACTTACTAAGTCACCCTGACCCTAAACCAATAAACCCTAAACCCTAAATAATATAGTAGTTTCCATTTTCTCATTTTACCAAGGGGGTAAGAGTGGAACATTTGTGCTGTCTCGTGTTTAGGGGCCGAGAGGTTTGCGATTGAGGGCTTAGGGCTTAGGGTTCAGGGGCGCAGGTTGAATAATTAGGATGTGTGGCTTCAGATTCTAATGGGATTATATTGGGATTATATTGGGGTTATATTGGGGTTATATAGGGATAACTCAAAAGAAAATGGAAACTACTATTTAGGGTTTTTGGGTATAGGATGTATAGTTCCCCTTTTAAGTAGATAGAATATGGCCTGGGGTATATTATAATAAGATCCCTCTATACCCCATATTCTATTTACTTTAGTGGGACTATAGGGTTCTAGATTTAGGTTCGAAGTGTGCGATTTTGGGGTTCGGGCTTCAAGGGCGAGATTCAGAATCAGGCTTTACAGTTTTAGCCCAGCGAATGCTGTGGAACCTAAGCCACTCATCCGCTTCCCTCGCCAACCGTTCATGTGCCGGTTTCCGTACTCGTGGCGGCCCTCGAGATATGCAGAGGTTGTAGTGTAGTTCTGCGAGTTTGGAACCCGATTTTTTGCTGAGTTGCAATTTAAATTAAAAGCAGGAGGACTTGAAGATAGTAGCAAGAATACACCTACAAATCTGCTAGACACATGTGTAAGAAGAACAACTAAGGCTGGAAGCTCAGGTGCCCTCATAATGGGAGTCTACCCTAAGGCTCCTAGGACTACTTGGAGCTTTATGGGGGAAGGTTTGGGCTTTGGGGGCTAGGGTTTGGGATTCCATTATGAGGGTCCAAGAGCCTTAGGGTAGGGGAAGCTAGCAGCAAGCCGATTTCTTTGCTCAGTTTACAACTGGATTCTGCTCCCCTGGTCGTGGCGCGGGCGTCGCGCCGCAGTGTCCGGTGACCACGTGGCGTGCGTGGCAGGCGCATCTGGGATTTTGTGGGTTAAAAGGGGATAAAGTTAGCAACTCCCTTTCCATTTTTCTGGTCATGCCACCCCACCGACACCGGCCTAAGACCAACTCACCTGAACCCACTCAATGTAACCACCAGAACCCTTGTAAAATGACGGATAGTAAACGTCATGCCTCAAGAACAGGGTTTGGGGCAAAGTTTGCGGAGCACACGATGTTGCCGCCATATTCAATCGCCACCACCGGGTCTAAGCGCCCTCTCTCCCCTCAGCGCCCTTTCTCCTCTTCTCCAACTAATCCAACTGCCGCTTCTCTCTTGCGTGTTCAAGATGCAGTCACGCAGTTCGGTGACTAGCGGCGACGCAGTAAGACCCAACTGCTGGCGGTCGTCATCAACATCTTCTTCGAGATGTGTCAGGAGCTTCTGCTCAATAATTCCTTGCCTGGTTTGAGTGCATCTATATGGGTGGTTGTCAAAATTCTGGTCCCCTTTTTGGGTACCCTAAATATTAGGTGCCGTATTATAATAGGGATCCAAAAGGGACCATAATTTTGACAACCACCCATATGGGCTACAGTCTATATTAACATTATCAAGGAAACCTTACAGTGGACATGAGGGTCTCTTGCGCAGTTTAGTATAGTCCCGAAAATAGTCCCTGATAAGGAACACATGTCCAGTAAACTATGTAGGGAAAAGATTGTCTGTAGCTCATATGGTGTGACAGGCTGCAACTCAAGAAAGATTTGATGAGCAGCATGCGTGCCTTATCCAGGTTGCGTTGAGTCTCAAAGACAGACCATCAGTTCCCCCACAGCAGCCATGGCCGAACCTGCCGAACCCGATGATACCATGGAACTGCGTTTGCTCCAGCCATCCGGCGACTGCACTCCCCTTGTCGTCCAGAGGAAACACACTGTCTCTCAGGTAATAAATTCGGTCAAGCAGGCCATTCCTGCGGCGGAGGGTCAGATTGTGGAGTTGCTCTACAACACGACTCGTCTCCAGCACGCTGACACCCTTTCACAGAGTGGCCTCAATGAGGGTGATGCGATTACCGTCCTTCTCCGCAAGCCTGAAATCCTGATCTCGCCGATTAATGGTGTCATGCCCAAATGAGCTATAGTCTAAACTCCTAGTATCCCCCTTAATCGCCCCTAGAACACTCCCCTATATAATCCCGTATATCACCCCCTTTAAGGAGGTTAGAGCCTAAACCCAAAACCCTATATATTCCCTACATAGCCACCCTTGAAGAGTCTAGACCCTAAAACCTAAACTCCAAACCCTAAACCCTAATCCCTAAACCCTAGACCCTATATAATCTCTATTCAACTCCCTATATATCCGTATAGAATCCCTTATATAACCCCCTTTAAGGAGTCTAGACTATAGCTCAAATGAAGACAGTGAGGTGGAGCTTTAGAATGCCCGAAGTGCGAGTCTAAATGGCGACGGGGATGTCTGCATTGGTAGAATGGTTAGGGTTTAGTGTTTAGGAATCAGGGTTTAGGGTGTAGGGTTTAGGGTTTAGGGTTTAGGGTCTAAGCATTAGGGATTAGGGTTTAGGGTCCCCCTTAAGTAGATAGAATATGGGGTTTACGCGGATCTTATTATAGAATACACAAGCCATAATCTATCTCCTTAAGGGGGACTATAGATTTACAGGGCTTGTATTTGTAAGCAGTTTCTTTGGGGGGTTGCAAGAATCTTGTAGAAAGGCTTTTCAGGCCTTGCAAGCAGCTTTATACCTGAGGTATAAAGTAACCCTGAGGCTTTAACCCTATACATAATACCTACGTTGGGCCCCAAACCCTATAAATAGTACTTACATGGAGCCTTAGGGTAAGGCCTTGTGAATGGGATGCTCCGTTCGCCAGGATCTGCAGAAACTCGCGGCAACGAACAAAAAAAGGTGGCCGAGCAGTGCGATTCTGAAGCCAACCTCAATCCTAGAAGTTCCCTGGACCCCCACTACCTGGTAACCCAATACTATTGAGGCCATATTCCTTCTGTATTTGGGTCTAAATGGCTAGTGGGGTACCAGGTAGTGGGGTCCTGAGAGTCCCTAGGACTGAACCCAAACCCAGCTCCTCACTTGCGTGCCTGAAGGAGTTGCCGAGCGAACCTTGCCGAACTAAGCGCAACGCAGACTACGGCTTCTACCACTGCACGCGCCTTGGGTGGTTCTCGTGTACTACAATCCCCTAAGGCTCCATGTAAGTACTATTTATAGGGTTTGGGGCCCAACGTAGGTATTATGTATAGGGTTGGAGCCTCAGGGATCTTTTTTAACGCGCAAAAATCATGATGGAGCCAACGAAGAAAACACCATCAAAAGCACAGGCAAACCATGGGCAAGCACCAGACAAAGACGCACGGAATACACAAAACAACATTCAAACAGCTTTCAAAAATCACGTGTAGGGAATTTTGGGCTTAGGCGCGTTACAAACAAGGCATAATTTATGATAACGTGTTGTGGTTGCACATTTATAGTATTATTAAGAGAGAACAAGTATTCCATAATTTTCTCTGCCGTCGTGATCGAGTAATCCCGCCAACCTACCAGGCAAAAAAACAAATGCATTCGCGCATTGGTCCTTTACTTCTTGTAACTGCTGGTGAAGCCGCTAAATCTTTTTGTAGTAGCATATGTAATATCATGTTCTAACATTTTCTTTAAAACCTGTTCTGTGTCGTGAAACATTATACAATAACTTATCGAGACATACACCTTGAAACATAAACGATCGTCGTCTGGATGGTGTGTTATAAGAATAAGCTGTTTCGTTGCCTTGCGTAGTGGGCTACTGTGGGCTATTTGGCCTGTTGATGATCGTTTTTGTTTTGCCGTATTATGTTCTGTCAATGCTGCAATAGCGAAATAACACGTGTGATATATACATATACATGTTTTTTTGTTTGACTTTGTTTAGTTTTGAAAGGGGTTTGCTTTCATCAAAGCCACTCATCACTTATCATCTCCATACAAATATCGCACTTATCGTATCGCATGTACGTGTACATAATGGCCACTTAACAACCTTGCTTAACACCCTTGCGTTGAACATTTCTTCACGCTTCCCACAACTTTCAATTTCGAACAGTTCCTTAGTAACAGATGACTTATTCTTGTGCAATTGCGTTCTTAAGAATACTGGGTCGTAAACAATTCACACCCTAAACCCTAAACCGTAAACCCAGCAGCCTATCTTCACGTTCAGCTCTGGAATATTTGTGACCTAATTTGTTTTTAGGGATCAGGGTTTAGGTTTTAGGGTTCAGGGTTTAGGGTTTCGGGGGTAGGTTTTGGGGTTTAGCGTTTAGGTTTTAAGGTTTAGGGTTTAGGGTTGTCTATGGTATTGATATTTTGACAGTAATTGCTCAGCCAGTCTTTTTCACTTGGCTTGCGTCTTCTATATATTTCAACTTTATCTCCTTCATAGGGGTATATGCGGTTCTTCTTGCCCTTCAAAGTCAATGTTAATTTCACTTTGAGCTGATTACTGGCTTTGCGCCTATTTGGACGTACATCCCGCGGCCGAGTGCTTCATGTGATTTTGTATTGATTCCGCTTATCGTATGTTATCCTTGCCACTTTTTTAAACAGCTTGAAGAAAGGCGCTACAACCACGAATGTGTCATAAACATAGTTGACCACTTGAGATTTCAAACCGTATGCAGACAGGCCTTTTATCTATGCTTTTGTTTTTTGCAAAAGGGGCAACACATGCTTTAAGATTATCACCTAAAGAAAGCACTTTGTAGTAATATATGGAGAAAAGAGAACACAAGGTTATTTCAACGGTAAAATTCATGCCGCGTATAACTACATTGTAACGAGTTTAGTTTATGTTGGAAGCAGCTGTCAATTTTCAAGTAAAGGACTATCAACGCACGGGCGCGAGGTTAAGTGTAAAACATGACAGACCATACTATTCTATGCCAAAAGGTGAGAGATTGGGAAGGAACAATTTTACATAGAGCTGTTAGAAGAATGCCCTTGTGAAAACAACGACAAGTTAAGAGCGTGGGAGGGTGAATACATAAGGAAGATAGGAATACTCAATGGACAAATAGAAGACAGAGCGACCAAGGAAATAATGTTTGATCAAACGGAAAATGGCAGCCATATCGCAACAAGAGATGGCAAGACAATGAGCAGAAATAACGACATTAACAAACAGCGATTCACATGAGCAATGCTTCAAAAACTCGGCAGCAGCGATACTCAGCATTGTCGAAAACGACTATCCAAATGAATTTGAAATCCCTTCGACATTGAAGAATACTAGCACATTTGCGGCGAAAAGGATTATGATTACCGTAAATGGCCTGAATTTAAGTGATGTATACGCTGCACAAACTTATGTAGGTGGCGCTAGTGCTAGTGCTGGTGGAGTTTCACAAACAGCTTTAGATGCTATAGCACCGTTAATTACGAAGGACACTGCGCATGATACAACAATTTAGACAACATTAGTGATATATCGGCTCTAAACACAAAACAATTAAAACGCTTAACTAACATCTTTACTATAGCTACACATTTAGCAACAGTTACCAAACTACAACTCAGTTGACTGCTAATTTCGTTTCACGAACCATACTTTTAACAAGTCATTATACATCATCAGAAACGGACGCGGCGTTAGGAAATTATTCATCTACACCAGCAATATCTGATACCGTTTTGTCCAGTCAGACCTGCATTGAATCGCAATATTCAAAAAAAAACAGAAGTAGACGAAAACAAGTGGATACACGCAACAGCAGCAACACCATATGTTTTAGCATCTAGAAGACGAAGTTAGGAAGTTGGAAAGCAAAGGTAAGGGCGATAGGACATACTTGTGTATAATAATATACAATGCCAACGTTAGACAAACAAATACATCAAAAGTCAGATCTGCAATTACAAAGAGTACAGAATGACTTAATCACCTTCGATTCTGTTCAAGACATCACAAAATAGACCGAAGAATGAGAAAGTACAGCGGAATACTTGAAAAGTAAAAGCTACGGTAACAGCGGTCGGTGTATTCCATGTAGCTGTTTGAAAAGGTAAGCGTGGTCGGCGTCTTCCATTTACTTGCTTGATCTTAGTTTTAGTTTTAGCAGATAAAGGCAAAGCACATGATAAGGTATTACAAAAAGGCAGGAAGGAACATACATCGTGATTATGCACACTGTTATAAGAGAATTTGAGAAGACTGTTTGCAAGGACACGACTGTTAAAGACGCGTATATAGGTCTTACAAAGAAATTTCACAAAACGATAGAAACACCATAAAATAAGATGCAACCACATGAAATTCCCGAGGTAGAATATGTATGTATACGAAGTCATGTGGTCTGGCGGATGGCAAAATTTGGAGCTGATAAGTATTGAAACATAAAGCTGTGAGATCTCAATAAATGCCAGACAAATTGAGAGAGAATTATTAATTGATAATGGGAATCCTATTCGGGATCATAGAGTGATCATCCCGATGATGTTCACAGACTTTGCGATGAGCATAAAAACTCCTAGTATCGCCCTTAATAACCCCTATAAATCATACTCCCCTATTTAAACCCCTATATCCCCGTTTCAGGAGTTTAGACTATACCTCATATGAGATGACCTAGGGACACATGGTTCATTGTTCATCCCTTTCTGTTGCGAATCTGATTCGCGAGGAGCCGTGACTTTCAACGCGCTTTGGTTTCTTTCCGTGTCCAGCTTCATTCGTTGCTGCTTGGATTGCAGGCTGAACCCTAAACCCTAAACCTGAAAAGGAATGATGTGTCTTGTTGTCTTCAGCTGCCAACTTTTTATGTGTTGGTGTTCCCTCAGCTTGGACAAAACCTATTCGTGATGTGCTTCATGGCGCTCTATGTGCGAAAATGCGAGAGATTATAGCCCCTCTTTAAACCTTAAGTAGATGGAATATGGGGCATATGTGGGTTTTTTTTTATTGTAATATTGGTCAATTCCATATTTAATCTGCTTAAGGGGGACTGTGCCCCCTTATTCGTTTTGCTTGGGTATTTCAGCTCTAGCTAGGCGTGTGTTCCCAGACCCTGATCTGAAGAACCACCTTGCTGGTGGTTTGTAGAGAATTGAGGAATGC